CGCCGCCGCTGCCGCCGCTTTCCCGTGCGCGGGTGCAGTCGCGAGGCGCCCCCTCCCCTCCCCTCCCGGCTGGAGCATCTCACATGGGGCAGAGGGTTGTTTGGGGGCAGATCTTTGATTGCCCATCAAACAGAGATGGCTCCTGGAGAGAGTGATCCACGAGTCATGGGCAAGGCATTGATGGCCCATTAACAGAAAACAGTCTGGGAGGAGGAGGCAAGGGAAACACTGCCCCACCTGGTCTCAACAGCTCATGAAGATGGTGATAGAATACATACTTTTGGGCACATCTTACATCGTAACCTAGGACAGTTAGTACTTAGCCTCTCTGTAGGTGCTCACTTCTTCCTTCAGTCCACTGCTGAGAATTGCACCTTCATTTCTATTAGTCTTTGATGACTTACTAAAGCCAACTTTTTCCAAGACTGAAATGTAAATTTGAGGTGTTCAGTCAAGGCATTTGTTGGCTACTTAGTTGAGAAGTAAGAGCTGCTGGCTACTTGACACTTTTTATAACGTCTGCTGAGCTAGCATGGAAAAGAATACTAAAGAAAGTCCAGTGAAGGAGTAGTTTGGGAGTGGATAACATCAGGCATGAATTACAGCACCATTGACCTGCCTCTGCTGGCAACCAAGGCTGTTGCATAGGCGAGAGCTACGGGGAGACCAAGCACAGACCAAGAAGAAAGGGGCTTGTGGGAAAAGGCAAGAGCATTCTGGCCCTTTGCTGCGCCTAAATAGGGTTTGTCAGGTTTCAGGCTTTTCTTTTGATATGCTTCAGACCTGGACTTGCACATATTTGCTATGTTGCTGATGCCCCTTATCAGGAGAGCTTTAATTGGAGACTTTCCCCTCGGGGCTAGGCCAGGCAGGTGGCTTCGATGGGAGCTGGTACTACAGCTGTACTATGGTTAGGGAAGGACCTTGGTGGAGAGGGTCACAGCAGGGTTGGACTGTCGATCTCTGAGGGCAGCTGTACCTGCGTCCTTCCTCACAGAAACCCAGTTAAGATAACGCAGGTGAGAACATAGATTATACCATCATGCCTGGGCTGTTTTCCAACAGCCCCTATGCTGCAGCTGTCTCCTAAATTAATTGATGTGACAAGATGCCTGAGAGTCTGTGTTTTCAAGGAAATAGGGCATTTGGAAGTTCAAGCAAACTACAAGCTGCGTTGCTATCTTCTGTGTATTTATTTTTTCTATGGGAAATTGATTTGACTGTATCTATAAATGTAGTTTCCCTAAAGACTAAACACTTTGTCTTGAAAGAGAAAGTAGCATTCCTGTAGAATAGAACTTTTTCACCTCATATCTCCTTGCAGAGCTAAGGCAGACATATTAACATTTTCTAATAAGAAAGTTTGACTGGTGTAGTACTTTGGAATTTCACAGTCCTGGAGAATTTCTTTCTCTCTGTCCTTTGCCACTGACACTGTTGAAATACTGCTGGCGATTAAGACCTTTATTTTGTTCCTTGATGTTCCATTTTGTGTCCATAAGCAGAGGACATTTTAATTAAGCAAGTTCAATTAAATACAGGATCAATTTTTTAGGCTGCTGTCCTATATTTTTTCTATTTGTCTGTGGTGACCATGGAAGAAATAATGAAATATTTAAAGAACATGAAAGCAGAATTCATTTCCAAATGAAAGCTGAATAATATGAATGACAGGAAAATAGTCTTACAGGATGAAGAATAAAAGATTTATTAGTGGGAGAGATGTAGAAAGACTCACAGAAAATGGCACAGGACTGTGACCCCGAAGAGGTCTCACTGCAGAGTTTAAAAATTTTGTAACCATCTTCCACTGGTCATTATTTTTGGCTTTACTATTATTATTCCCACCTATAGTAATTAATGCCTTCTCCTTTCTGAAATCATGTTTGGCATTACAACAGCAGCTCAAAGTATTGGTTGTAATTTCCCCATCCCTGCATCTGTACTGTGCAAACACAGGAGAAAACTCATCCTGCATGTAAAGCAAGCCTGGATGCAGGTCCTGAGTCAAGCATGACCAAAGTAACTGGAGCAGGATCACACAGGGAGTCCTGGACTAAGGCCCAGAGGTGAAACCGGAGGTGACATATGTTCTCTCCTGGTGCAAATCAGATTATTTGACTTGGAACCAGAATGATTAAGTCATTAAAAAGGCCACCTGTCTTCCAGGAGGGACTCTCACAAGCACTTTGCAAACGTCCGTTTTGTATACATAATACCCGAAAGACTTCATAATTACTAGATTTTACTGATTTAGTTTGCTGCCCTTCACATAAGATGTTATTGATTTCACAGCCTTTTTACTGCCTTTCACGACAAACAATGTTAACAATAGGAATCACAGCAGGCTCAGACAAGACATCTGAAGATCAATTCACTGGATGTACTCCGAGTTAGCTCCTTTGAGGACCTTGTCAAGAAACATACTGGGTACAATCTGCCACGTGCAGCTTAGAGCGCTCTTGTAATATACCAGAGCAGTTGTGCACCAGAGCACAGGGAAATGACAGCAGTTGATTGTAGCATTCAGATTTTGAACTGCCCAATTTAATTGGTTTACTATTGTTTCTTTCAAAAAACCCCTGGCGTATTATGTGGATAAACTCTTCAAAGGAGTATTACAGTAGCTTTCAAATTAAAAAGACCACGACAACCCAGGCTGTTTATTTAGACATAAACAATAGTGATGAGGTGGGGAATGTGTTAAAAACAGCTGTTAGTCTGTTGTACAGAGTTTTTTTCAACAGAATCTAAACATTGACCACCCAAATATTTAAGTGTATCACTTTCTGTACTATCTGAGAAATGGTTGAAAACCATGCAGCTGATTTTGACCTTCTGCTCAATTACAGAGATCTGGGATTGTTTGCTAAATATAGGACTTTGAGAATCATTTTGTAAAGTAAGATTTTACATCTCTTTTGCTTTATAAGCTAAGTGGGCATTGAACACCTCTATGCTCAAGACATATCCAAAAAATGGTCATTCTTGGGAAGAAGCCAGACCCCCAAAAAAAAACATTTGAAAGCTGGAGAACAAAGAAAGGGGACAGTTTTTCTTACGTACCATGCAGACTAACTATAGTAGTCGTGAAATATTTAAAAAACTTTTGAAATGCACAAAAGTCTCCTTTGTTTCTACTATGATCACTCTCTTTCAGGTCCGTGTCATCCTGCTG